TGGTGAAAACTAGAAAAAAAAGAAAGAAGGTTCCAGATAAAGCCGCTTGGAAATGGATGGTCCAGAAATCGAGTCCGGTCACGACATTAGTGGTCCTCGTTCCACTAACATTAGATTTAAGAAAACTCTGTTAATCTAAAATTGAACTTCAGCTTTGTGAAGCTAATGCAAATGAACTTTGACAAATAAAAAAACATACATATCTATATAGAGCTGGAATTAGGGCCTAAACGCTTTTGTAAACAACGACTTCTCTTGATGATTTCTAGAAATTCAAGGCTCGTCCACGCAAACCAACATCCTCATCGGGTAGGGAAAGACTTCCCCTATCCGATGGTTAGGTTGGTCTGCGTGAACGTGCCTTGAATTCCTAGACATCATCGATGGAAGTCATTGTTTACAAAAGCTGTTACGCCCTAATTACAGCTCTATCTAGATATATTAAAAAAAGTCATGGTTTACATTCGGCTCACTGTATGTTTGCCTAATACTGAATTTGCTCAATGGATTCAAATTAATCACTTATCTATTTCTATTTATTTATGTATTACCTATTTACCCTTACATATGTTGATCGAAACCAATTTTGAAAAATACTTATGACAAATCCGTTTCGATCCAAATAGGGAATAGGAGTGAATATTATAAAGAAACTTGTTCAGAAAAAATGTGTTTGCTCCAATTCTATCTCAAATATAGCTACTTTAATGAGAGAGACGGGTACTTCGGTGCAGCTGGAAAGCAGATTTTTTTTTTAATTTCCTTAAATGTCAGAAGAATAGAAACATTCTCATAAACGAAAAACCATAATTGACCTTTCCTCTGAAGTTGTAAATCTCTTCTTTTGTATGATTTGTTCACTAAATACTTTAACGCTCGCAATGCATAAAATCTAACCTAACACATAAAATCCCTGACATCATTGAGTAAACAAACAATAGAAATTTGTGTAGTAACCAGGGAAGCAATCTAGTAATAAGTATTTTTAAGTATTTATAGGTATCTAAGGATCCCACAGAAATATTAATATTTTCAATATCCATATACCACAGACAAACAGACGTAACTCTTCATTGTGTATCTTCGTTCATGCATTTAACGGTTGATTTGAATATTATCGGTTCCGCGAACTACTCGCCGCAGCGCTGGCATCGGATCACTTTGACGTTTCTATATTTTCTATAGAAATTTTATGCAATATTGTTTACGAGTTAGCGAGCAAGCTTGTTTTCCGCGAGAAGCCAGATAGATGTCGTTACTGAGGTTATATGTTTTGAGATACTATGTTTTCAAGAACAAGTTTTTCAAAGAGTTACGTCTGTTTGTCTGTGCATATACAGTCGATAATCCCTCCCCTTGGCTAGTTTTTGCACCTTGCTGTTGGTGGGCGGGCTTAATTTCATGCTAGTGGAGTGTTGGAGATGGTGGGTTTATGGTCGGCGTTGCTGGCTCATGGCGCGATAGAATGGCGCCATGGGCAGGCAATGGGAATTACTAAGCTTCCCCTCTCTGATAAACCACTGCATGAGAGAACCAAAGATCTAGTCTAGCAGTGATAGTATCACACTTGTTACTCCTTTAATTGAGAGCCGCGTCGTAGTACGCTTACGTATAGGCACTGACGTTGGGTGTGATACTGGCGGGTTTTGCCGCAAATCACTCTTATTTTATTTATTTTACGCAGATAGATTCATTTGGGTTTGCAAGGGAATTATACTATTGAAATATTTCAGAAAGTGCCCAACAGTGCTCCTTCTATTTGCGTGACAAGCTTTCATTGTTGTTTTCATTGAAGTATTACTCAGAAAACAATGTTAAACATCATTTTTGTACATGGTATTGTAACTAATCTTATATGTGCTTCATTTTGATTTGGGATAAGTGTTTGAACTATGGCTCGGGATTTCCACTGTGGTGTGCTTCTATTGTGACATACCCATATGTATTTTTGTGGTGCCACATAGTGGAAACGTGAGAGCGTAATTGGAACATTTACCCTATACAATATACAATTTAAAATTAGCTTGGAAACTAACTTCAAAGTGAAGCATTTTAGTCACTTGAAGGTGTCATCTGGGACGAACAAAGATATAAGATAAGATATGTAAAAGCCAGAAGTACTTGAAACACGTTAAATTGTAGTTTAAAAGCATGGGTTATGATTGTGTAGGTAGATTAGAGATTTCAGTTATTTATTAAATAAACTTCAATTATAGAATTCAGAAAGTTAATTAACATAAGAGATAGGACGCGGGGGGTCCGCTTAGGGAGGCGCCTAGCCTATGAAGTTGTATAATAAATCTTCCTATTTAGTGTATTTGTTAATTACAGACAATGTCAATAGCGAAAGTCATATCTTCAACCAGGCGCTTACGAACAAGTGAAGTTTTAGGAAAGATGTGTTAAATATGTTGATAGGTTTGAAATAAGAATTAGGATTGTTGTGCTTTAGTTTTCGGTAAGGTATGATGTGTCAACAAAGCCCTTTTGAGCAAATTTTCAAACATCAAATTGATTGAGTGATTTATTGAAAGACATTGCGTTGCGAAAATTGACAAGTCATACATCTAACATAGTAGTAGTAGCAGTGTCGCATAATTTTATCACAATTGCTGCAAATAGTGCTGGAGGGGCCGGCAGGGCTGAATACGGATCAAAACTAACACTAACACTAACACTGAAATGATCCCGGAACTAACACTTATCCATTGCACTTTTAGTTATTTATTAGTTTTATTTTTCTACTAAGTCATCTATGCTTCTTTCTATTGTTTGGATCAAGTACAACTAATACTAATCTACCTTTATGTATGTTTTACTCCCTTTTAACCCATTATCTTTATGAATGGCGAATCATATGACGTGAGACACGTACAAGCTGGAACTCAAAGAATTACTTCGAACAGGATGTCAAACAAATTCAGGACCAATCCAAATGAGACCAAAAACCAACAAAGCATCGGGGAGTTAAATATTCTGGGAGAGGTATTTGATAAATAATCAAAAAGTGGTAAGTTAAAATCAGAGCCAAGGATCATGAGAGGTAATTGTCAATAATTCATTAATTAGTAGAAATCTCGATAACTTTTTCAAGGGAGCGTATCGGCTTTTGTAGGCGGTGCGTTTGGTCGTCGATTTGGCGTAACTGGTGTCTCGCCCGCGCGTGCTGGCACTATCATCAGATAGGGGAAATTTTCCTCTACCTGCTGGTGGTGTTGATAAGCGTGTGCGAAATGCCGGTTGCGCCGGATCGACGATCGGATGCATTGTTTGTAGGAGCTGGTGCTTCCCTTTGAAAAAGTAATCGAGAAATAACCATATTATCCTGTAATTGATATTACTATTTTTATATATCAATGAAATTAGTCATGACAGAGTAACAGATGGGGAAGGACAATAGACACAAGTTGACACAATAAACAAGACAAGTGGGGGTTAATACACAAGACAAAATGACAAAATAAGTGACGACAGAAGACAAGACTGGGACGAAAATCAACCTTTTAAAAAAACAAGAATGCGCAATTATATTATCAAAACTATTTGGATCAGCACAAAAACAACAGTGACCAAACGGGCACCATAGCCTAGGAACGTCTGTGTGTTGATTTAAAATAGAGGCTCATAGAAGCAAAATTTATCAATAAAAGGGGTCCAGTGTAGAGTTTTAGCAAGTTGCTGCCACTGAATCACAAAAAAATGTTGGGGCACAACCTCGGCCCAACAAACGAATTTGATTCGTTAGTTGGGTCAACTGACAGACCCATTGATTTTCAAATCCAACATGAGCTTTAGACATCCAGTTGCTTTTTAATTGGGTTATGGCCCAGCCAGCGGAGGTCCAACTACTAAGCAGCCCAAATATTCAAAGCTCAACCAGCGAATTTCGACTGTATTAATGAAGTTGAAGTTGACAATACGATTATTGTCAGTTTATTGATGGGCGAAGAAGAAGAAAAAGAAGATAATGTGAGGGAATTACATTCACAATGATAAGACAATCGAACGACAAATCATGCGGGAGATTGTAAGTTGACGGTGTTGGATGCACCGGAGGAGGAATCGGAAGCTAGGAACGCATTGTTTGATGAATCAAGCGGAATTAGTTATCAAAATAATGGAAAGAAAAGCCAGAAAATCCGTATTTGTCAAAGACAATAAAGCAACCACCCAATCACTCCACAAGTTCAATGTTTCTGTAGAGTGGCGCCGGTGGTGGTAAGCGTGATTGCCTCTCACCCCAAAAGGCCTGGGTTCAATCCCAGTCGGTGCCGCCGGGATGTTCTGAGGCATAAAATCTCTGATCACGTCTTCTGTTTCTGAAGATCTGAACCCCGACTTTCAATGAACCATTTTGTCTGCTACACTGCCCTAGTAACCATCAAGTCCACTAATGCAAACAGTGCAATATAATGCTGATATAAGGCTAATATAAAAGTTTAAAGCCGTATATCAGCTTTATATTGCAAAAAGGGTCCTTATCGGGGTATTAACAGGCTTGGTAGTTACTTGGGTGGTCGTTTGAACCAATACTGAACATTTGATAGCTTTCGCCATATTGCGCTAAGAGTAAACTCGTTATCTATACAGCTTCAATACCACTTTTTAATTTAATGTAAAACAACTAAGTGATTGATTTTGCAGCCGATAACTTTCTAACATGGTTGATCTGCAGTTTCTGGTTGCAACCGAATGAGCTTAAATGTTAACCAGGATCTGATGGGGAGCGAAATGGATAATTTGAACCACTACTGTGTTGCAAAGGTAGAAATAGTTCTCACTGACTACCTTCAGTTGAACATGTTTTAAGAGGCTTAAGACTATGTGGTGCAGAAAACTGAGAATATCTACTTTGCTCAAGAACAACGACGGGAATTGTACGATAAAACAAAAACGGTACTCCTGAACTGGAATGTTACTCGCTATCACCACGTATGGCAAAAATAAAATGCTAACATCTGAAATATGATTCTTTGTCACAACTCGTCACCTGATGAAGTGATTGTGAGATTAGCACTTTATTGTTACGTATTTTCCACATAAATATAACTAACATACATACAATAAAAATAAAATTATGACTACTTAATTGGCATTTCCTCCCGATTACGGCGATTACCTATTTCACACAAAGGTCGTCGGTGAGTTGGACTCGATCCAGTGCGCGTAATGTGCAATCGAGGTGTACACGCTAGGCATGTTGACCGCACCGCACGTTTCCGCTCCAAATGACATGATCCCTATCTGGGCATACCGGCTGCGTTCTTTTATTATCAGCGGAGCTCCCCCGAAACCGAGGCATGCATCGCGACCTTCACCACCGGCACACATCCACTCGCCTTCGATGGACTTGGTCGATTGCAGGGCACCCGTGGCCGAGTAAGACCTTACGCATTGGTCCCATGACGTCAGGGGAACTTCGAGCGATTGCATTTCTGGTGACTTGGAGCCACTGGTCGAAAGCTTACCCCAACCGATGATCTGCACACGCCGGCCTACGGTCAACTCTTGGCGTCGCCGGTGCAAACAGATGGGTTGTGCTGCCACTGCGAGTGTGGTCAACCAGAAGCATAAAAAAGAAACAATGACATTATTTATACGAGGTGTATGTGAAAAACGATCACCGGGTGTACATAATTAGAGGTTACATGCGACATTAGAACTAAGTTCAAAAGGTAGACTGACAAAATATGTTTTCACGGCCACTGGAGATGAACGTGCAAAGTTCCAACTTCCGTGTGAATTTGGGGAAAAAAGGTTCAACGTTTCGTTACCCGTGTAATTGATCGGCGTTTTCAGCACCAGCAGTGCAATGTCATGATGATACTGGCCGTCCACATAGTCCGGGTGAACAATTATTTGGCTAACGGCATGGTTGATGGCAGCTGGTGCGCAAAATCCGGTATTTCCGCAGTCCGGATCGGTGCGTGTATCGTAGTCTCCTATTCGGACGGATGATCTGGAAATTGTTTCGATAACATTAGTCGGTTAGAGAAGTGAAGCTCAGCATCCGGAGATAATACGGGTTTGGGAGCATTGTAGGTACTTAAATCCGCATCAACCTTGAATTTGCAGCAATGAACGCAAATTTTCCATATGACTGAATCGCACTACAATTATCCCGCCCTCAATCATGGTCTTGCGTAAGTTGGTTCTAATAATGACTGTGTTGTTCATAGAGAACGTTGCATATACTCACAATCGATGGCTGTCGGCTTTAGCCAGAGCGCAGTGCGCTGAAGTTAGGATGATCTGCCGTGCGATAATCGATCCAGAGCAAGGGTAAATGAAGGACCCCGTTTTGGTGTCTGTTGAGAGAGGAATCATTAACAGGTGTATCTAATTGTTGATAGATGATATATTACTAGAACTACCTGTGTAGGGTTACCATATGGTATCCTAAAGGAGGACATGTCCTCCTTTTTTAATAATTTTTCTACATCCTCCTTTTGCCCGAAAATGTCCTCCTTTTTAATCCTTGCATTTTTTTTCCAGTAACATATTCATAAAATTGGTTTCAAAGAGCGTTGTTTGTAGAGCTTATTTGTTTAATTATGTCGCAACCGCATCTTATCAAGCAAATTTTATTCAATTGTGGGACTAGGAGTATACTACATCTGTCAACCCCTTACATTTAGGCTGCGATCCATTTGGTGAATTTTAACTTATATTTGACAGATGAAAAATTTACAAATTATCCTGCTATTCTACCAGACTTATTTAAGACAAACCAGGAATCAATTTTGAGAAACAATTTCTCGAAAATCGGACGATCAACAACAGAGAGATTTTCGAACATTATTATTTATTTTCCTAGTGTCAGTGAAAATTCATCAAATGGAACTCAGGCTTATACCAACAATCAATACGAAACTAACGATTTTAAATTGGCTCACTACTTGACTAGCCTATTGGTCCCAAGCAAACGATTAACGTATCCCATTCGAGTCGAAATTCTAGTACTACACTATGTTTGTTTTGATTCACTATGAAAGTTTGACAGATAAAATGAGAAGTTAGTGGATTTTCCTATGTTTTGAGGGGTGAATCGATTAGCTTGGGACCGAAGAGAGTACCAGAGCTGAGCCAAAAAGTTGAGCACGTTTCTTCGAGACCTACTAGTCTTAGAGTTACCTCTATGCTTATACCATAAAGGTAACTCTAAGACCACTGGGTCCCGAAGAAAATCATTATTATTTTTGGCTCACTCAGTACCAGAACAACGGTCCCAAGCAGTCCCAAGCTATTTCACTCACCCCTGCATGTTCTGCATGAATCTACACACCCCTGATGTAATCTGTCAAACTTTCATAGCGAATCAAAACAAACATAGTGTAGTAATAGAATTTCAACTAGAATAACTGAATGTTTACATAAATTTGACATTTCGAAAATAAATTATAATGTTCGAAAATCTCTCTGTTGTTGATCGTGTGATTATCGAGGTGTTTGTCAAAATTAGTTCCTGGTCTGCCAGAAATAAGTCTGGTACAATAGCAGGTTTATTTGAAAATTTTCTATCTGTAAAGCTTAGGTTAAAATTCACCAAATCTCGACTACTTTTTCGAAGGGACGTATCAGCTTTTGTAAACAATGCATTTGATCGTCGATTTGGCGTAACTGGTAGCTCGCCCACGCATTCTAACAGTACCATTAGATAGGGGAAATGTTTCCCTACCTGACAGTGGTGTTAGTATGCGTGAGTGAGCTACCAGTTACGCCAAATCGACGATCAAATGCATTGTTTACAAAAGCTGATACGTCCCTTCGAAAAAGTAGTCGAGAAATGGAAAACAGCCACACAGATTAAATCCAACATGTGTTCGATTTTGACGTTCTGGTTCTATGGGATTTTTGGTATTTCAAACATAACTGTTCAAATTGACGTATCTGATTTTGTGAACAATCACTTCAATCGGAGATTTGTGGCAACTGCAAGCTCACTCACAGAAACTAACAACACCAACGGCCTTAGAGTCCTAAGCTGAATCAATGGTAAAATTAACAGGTTGCTTAGATGTCCCATGTTGGTTTCAATCAGCGATGTCATCTATCCTGATTTTCCAACATGATAAAAGTTGGGATGGTTTTAATGCTGTAAACCTGTAGTTTTCATGCAAATCAGCTAGACTAGATCATTTTCAAGTATCAAAAATGAATTAAGAAAGCTAGTTTGATGCATTTTTCAGAAGTATAACGAAAAGACAAATTGAATTGGTAACGACTACAAGTTATGAACAATCTCAATTGAACCTTTGAAAATCATGAATTTGGGATAGCGCACATATTATCAAAACGTTTGACAAAAACTCATTGTCCTCCTTTAATGTTAAGAAAGGGAATCATTGTCCTCCTTAATCTCCAAACCTCCTTTTCAAGTATTTGATATGGTAACCCTATACCTGTGTATCACATGGACACAGTGGCGTCCCGTAACCTCACTTTTTACCTGTGTACCAACTATCAAAACCAGATGCCATATTCATACTCGAATCGGCTGAAAAATACACTTAATCTTCTAGTCTACTCGATATCTATCCATTAAAAGTAATATTTTGATAATTGTTTATGTTTTGAGGCTTGGTGCACAGGTAGATTGAGGTTAAGGAAACGCCACTGCATGGACAGCTGACCGAAATAGCAGGAAAAAGGTCGGACTTATTCGAGCAGCTTTTTTTCGGAAGTTAGCTAACTTTTTTTTTGTATGGAAAATACGATTCGAACGAAAACAAGAATATGGGCGAAAGTTCATAAACTTACGCCATAATTGCACGATGATGCTGTTAAAAGGCACTTTCTATCCGACTTCTTCTTCTTATTCTTCGCATTTCAAGCTTATTGCATATCGCATATTAGCTTATTGCGTGCTCTCAACTTAGTGTTCTAGATCAGATGCACTTCCACAGTTATTAATTGAGAGCTTTCGATGCCTGTACCATTTTTGCATGGGTATAATTGTGTGGCAAAGTCCAATCATACTTCTATGCCCAGGGAAGTCGAGAAATTTTCCAACCCGAAAAATTCCTAGACCGGACCGGGAATCGAACCCAGCCACCTCCAGCATGGTCTTGCTTTGTAGCTGCGCCTTTACCGACTGAGCTAAGGGAGGCCCCAACTTGCTTTTCTTGAATATAAAGAACACAAAATGATCGAAAGTTTGACTCATCATGCAGTTAACTGATCATCCAGCAAAAAGCAGTTAAGTAAAAACTGCTTTTGCTGGAAGCAGTGCAGCAATCCTAGAAGCTGAAACTCGATTCCAATTTTTGGTGTGTAGAGGCTCCTCCTTAAATGGCATACCATTCGCCCACCTCCAGAAGCGTATTCCTCCGGCTGTCGCATGTAGATGGTTTTGGTTTACGAAAAATTTAAAACCAGAAGTAAATCAAAAGCTAATCTAAGATTCGTTCCAACTATGCAGACAGTATGCATTCACGAATAAATTGACCGATGACATGTGAAATTTTTAGCAACGGCAGTCAGGCGAACGAACTATTTATTAGCTGACGCAACAACCACAGACTGCCGGCCCCAGATCGAACAAAGCCCCACCCCATACAGGTTGACAGTGAAATATGTGCTCAATGATTTTCCTAGTTCCAAACAATGGCGAAAGAACAGTTCTAAAACGGCAATTAAACGCGCTCTTTCTAAGCTCTGATCTACATGAGGCGCGCGTTGGCTTCCCCGTTGCACTGAACACAAACAAATGCCGCTAAATGGTCACTTTGTCCTTCATACCTACATACCTACAGTCTAATTAAAAGCATGCGAGTTTTCGCCGTACACAAACATTTTGAACTAGCTAAAAAAAATACTCACTTTTGAATCCAACTCGCGCCACAAAGGGGTACGCCCCCAGCCCATGGTAGTAGTCTCCTTGGACGATGCTTTTTCCGCATCCGACATCGGGATTCCGATCATCGAAGACACCATCACTCTGAGGTTGCTGCTGCTGGTGCCGTCGTGGGCAGCAAACGTGTGGCTCCAGTTCGTTGACCCCGCAGGACAGTGAAAAGTCACCTCGGTAGCACTGGCGGGCAGTTTCCAGCAGCATTTCGGGACATTCCGCCAAGGGGACACATTCGCTCGAACCCGGACAGCTGATGCGGTAGAACGATTTGGATTCCAGCCCGGTAGCTGTGGCTCCACCACTGCGATATGCAACTGCACTGCTGCCCCCGGCGGATTCGCTTTCGACGATCGAATGAGCTACAGTGTAGGAGTAGATTAGAAAGTGAAATTTTGTACAAATGTTACTTTATTGTTTGGTCGTAATTGAACTGGCGGGGTAAGTATAGGCTGATTGGTGGACGAGTACTTTGTGAGTCTAATTAGTGTTGAACCCTCTCCTTCCCATGGTAGCAGAATTGATCCACAACTATTCGGTCCGTCACATGTTTGTCAATTAACCACTTTATTCGAGCAGTTAAAATGACGTTTACTACCACTTGAACTTTGAAATAAAACATTATTTTGAGATTTTTTCTTCTAGAACCATGAGAAAAGTAGCCAACATTTGTGCGTTTCATAAAAAATAGAAATTAGTTGGTCCAGTTTTGTGAAATCGCTAGTAGAAAGTCACGCCAAAACTGCTTGACATATGGTCAATTTACTCTTAGGGCGTGACATAATATATGAATCAGCCCCTAGGGGAACAGGATTTTTCAGTAAATAAAGGAACACATCTTAGTTCTTGTTACTTTTTAGGCCTTGTTAATAGTGATAAGTCCTCGGGTTGCCTGGACCGAGGATGATCTTGAAACAAGCGAAAAATGAGTTAAAGGGTGGAACGGTAAAAAATTTATTGACTCAAATTAGGTGATTTTTTATTTTTTAATCGTGCATTGACATCCCTCATTTTGTAGGTCTGTGCGGAATGTTGCCTCTATTTTGTTTTTGTCATTTTCCATTCAGTACCCAAGGACAAAAACCCTCCAAAATCCGAGGGGGTCGACACATCTAAATCTCAAGTCTAAATGCTCAACAAATCTCACACTAGCGAATCAATCTTCGAAAAATCTTCATTCATTTCTCGCATCTACTTGCATCGCTCGTCATCTTTCTGCAGGAAATCTTCAGAATCGTCATCAATCTTCTTTTTATCTACTCAGCGTGCGTGCAGCTAACCACAGCAAAACACAATCTTTTCTGCATCCTAGATAGAGTCGCCCCCCTCGCCAAAATCGCCGGAGCTGCACCCAATTGATCAATTTAGATGGTCAAGTTTTGAACCCACCACAGCATGCTTTTGGCGCTACTGTATATGGACGATCAAATATAAAATACTGTGGTAGCCACAGCATAGTTCCATAGAGGTAACTCTAAGACAAGTAGGTCCCGAAGAAACGTGCTCAACTTTTTGGCTCAGCTCTGGTACTATCTTCGGTCCCAAGCTAATCGATTCACCCCTCGAAACATAGGAAAATCCAATAACCCCTCATTTTATCTGTCAAACTTTCATAGCGAATCAAAACAAACATAGTGTGGTACTAGAATTGACGTTCAGCAGCAAATAATGTGATACAACAGCCCGACAGCTTGTATGTTCTTGTATTTTGTAGTCATAGAGTAGAGCCACACTCTATGTTTTCACTGAAGCTATACTCGAAAGCGCTCTCAAGTGTATCTTTAGTGAAAACACGGAGTGTGCACGCAGAAAAATTGATTTTTGTTTCAGGGCCTAAAGTATTTTGTTATTGATCAAAAATATTGTATCACTATTTGAACAAAACATATTTTTGAATCATCAAAATGGTTTTTAGAATCAACAAACGGATTATCGACTCTACAGGGTGATTCAGAATAACTGTCACCGATTTCACAAATATTCAATTCTCAATGGGTAAAATGGGTATATGTTCAAGTATTTTTGTTTTAAATGTGTACAAATATCAGCTTGTATTGATAGTAGGCTTTGAAATTTCATTCTTTTGCGATTTCAAGCAGCCATTGACGTCATAATGAAGCATGGCATAAATCTGTAAAAAAATCGTGTGTTATCTTTTAGAAACTGAAATCTCTTCGAAAGAATGTAACATTTATTTTTGCATCATTATAGAGGTACAAAGGAACCATGCTTGGAAAATCCGTTCAATGTCAGAGCTTAAACGCATCACCAGGACTCAAAAAGTGCTGGAACTAAAGCGCGCGTGCCAATTTTCGTGGTTAATTTTCATGACAAATGTGGCTGGTAATTAAGGTAAAGGGAGGTTATATATGTAGAATATCTGGAATATAATGATATAAAACATTCATGCAAGCGTTCAATCGTTATGACCATTTCTAAAAGGGACAGCTATTCCGAATCACCCTGTACAACCGGTTTGTTGATTCAAAAATATTTTTCGTTGAATTAATCGAATAATGTATTTTAATCAATACTAAAAACATATTAGGCCCTCCATTAGTATTTCCATTTGAATTTAAAAATCATTTCTCTGCGTGTGGCTCTATCACCGACAAACCGACATGATACTTATTTCTGACTTATGCCCGAAAATCGTAAACGGCCGATTAAAATGTGCAGTGATCCCAGCTGTCAAAACCATAGGATTTTTTGATGTAGATAAAAATAATTTGTCCAGCATTGATCATACACGAACCAATTCATAACTTTTGCATGCGGGTTCATGGCTTAGCTAAACATTTCCCGCGAACACGGAGCCAGATGTCAGTAGTGTGCTTTGGTGAGAAATTTTATCGTTTTTACTATGGTCATTCATGTCGGTTTGTCGGTGGCTCTATGGCGGATATTTAGAATTTTGATAGGGAGATTAATATCACTAAACTATCTTTTTTTTAAGATTGGTTAACTAAAAATTCAATTGGATTTAACGTTAGCATTCTATATTAAAACGTAACGAAATAGTCCCAAAAGGGCGACCCATCCCTGCTCCTTTGTTAAGGGGGTAGTCCACTCTGGAAATTTCAAAAAATCTTTTTTTTTGGCCTAAAAATACGTTGGAATGTCTACTTTGACATAGACTTGACCGCAAGTCCGCAAGCGACATCGTTCCAAAGTTATAGGCCGATTAGTGGACTCGTGTCCAGACGCTCCAAGCGCGCTCAGTTGAGCGCTCGGAGTACCCGCCCGTTACCGGCGAAACGGCGTCTTAGTAGTTCCAACTGCTGCCACGATTATCTCTAAACGATGTTTTCAAAATTTGGCGGGCGCTGTATTTTAGAAACAGCTCATTCGATTTAAACGGCGATTGAATTTTCGAGTTAAGTACCTTTTTTCTAGTCTTGTACGTAGCCGATTTTCAAAAGAATCAAAAATGGATTTTTGGTGCAAGCTTTTATCTCCAATTTTAGGGTACAAAAACGGACTGTTTTTTTTTCAAAACGTCGCCAAATTTTTATTTTTCAACCAAACTACGTACAAGACTGGGTCATCTATCAGAAAATAACCACAAAAAAATTGTTGTTCCAGCTCCAGTGGTGTGACCGCCAGACGTCCCGCCCCGCGACGACTCAAACGGGATGTCTCCTGGGGAACCTGGTGCAGTGGTTACAGGAGACATCCAATCGCGTCAAAAAATCTCAATTAAAGAGGACATTTCAATTGACAAAACCATGCATTCCTTTTTTTTGAATTGATCGTTATATACCCTCAAAAAAAAACGTGAAAATGACCTATTTTTCATGCCGTCAGAATGGCAGACACATATTGACACATTTGACAGATTTAATTCTATACAGAGCTGGAAAAAGGGCCTATCTGCTTGGATCGATTCTCTTCATTGACTTTCTTTTGATAACCACGCCTATGTAAACAGTTTTCGTGCTATTTTTGCCACATAGCCTGATAAAGAAGGTTTTTATCTATCGTCCAAATCGTCAAATACAACAGGGAATGTTGTTGCAGCTGAGTTATTAATGAAAGAGAAAGTCGATGAAGAGAATCGATTAAAGCAGATAGGCCCTTTCCAGCTGTGTATTTTTCTTTCGCTCTATATTGGCCAAAAAAGGCTATCCACAAATAGTTTTTTTTTGTGGCAAATGTAAAAGTTGAGTGCTAATAAAACATTAATGGTTGATTATTTAGAAGGGAATACAGGGCGGACTCGATTATCCGGAGTCTTGAAAAAAATTTCACTCCGGATAATCGGACAATGGTCTCATGTGGTCTCATTTAATGTTTTTAGTGGTCCCATTGAACGCTATTGAAGGATTATGGAATCGGACCACTGGTTTCGTAGATATGGCCGGAACAAGTTCCGGCGTTTATGGGCCATGAGGCTAAATTTGACTTGAAAGGAACAAAACCCATTAAGCGACACATCAAATTAAATCAAAATTTGATATCAAGATCAATGGTGGCAAACATTAAGTACCTTGGACCATATTGGCCACTTCCGGGCAAGTTCCGGGTGCCTCCGGAAAAGTGGCCAGAACCAGACTTGAATAATAACCTATCATGCGACACATCAGATTATATCAAAATTCGATAACCAGATCAATGGTGGAAAAAATTAAGTACCTTGGACCATATTGGCCACTTCCGGATAAGTTCCAGGTACCCCTGGAAGTCACCAGAATCGGACTTGGATAATAACCTATCATGAGGCACATTAAAATACATCAAAATTCGATAAGAAGATCAATGGAATTGAACCCATGGACCATCCGCTTGAGAAGCGAACGTGTAGCCAACCACGCCATAGGACCCCTCAACTTGAGAAAAATCGTAATCTCGCGACTCTCACGAGTGTGTAGAGACAAAGTTGAGCTTGGCTAAAAATCACGGCGTGAAGGCACCATATTTGACGCGGTTCCTAACTTGACGCACTCGATCAATTTCGACCATTTTCCATTAATATTTTTGAAATGTTAACATTGCAAATATTAGTTCCGGTGCTCTAGGGATGATAGTGTAACAATTCAACTGATGGTTGCTGATAAAACGGCTGCAGGCGAAAATGAAGACGAGAATGCGGAATTCGATGTTATGTCTGATGCTGACATAGTCAATGCTGATCTTAACCCTCCGTTACTCGCGCCAACGCCGCCAACTTTTATAACACGAGAAAATTACTGTCTTCGACAAAGTTGTTCAGGAGGTCAAAGCATTTTTGGCTGGTAAACAGTAGTTAAGAATTTTCTCACCACGTGGCATAGATGTACACTTCTTGCATATGCTATATTTCGAGATCCTAATCAGATAGAAAGTTACTGTCTGCAACAAAGTTATTCAGGAGGTCAATTTT